AAATGACTAATGTGGACAAATACCGCGCGTGCTTGCAAGCAAATCTGATACATCCCCCGCGCCCACACACACACACACACACACGCACACACACACACACACACACACACACACACACAATGAAGAATAGGAAGGGAAGAATGAAGAATAGGAAGGGAAGAATGAAGAATAGGATGGGAAGGATGAAGAATAGGAAGGGAAGAATGAAGAATAGGAAAGGAAGAATGAAGAATAGGAAGGGAAGGATGAAGAATAGGAAGGGAAGAATGAAGAATAGGAGGGGAAGGATGAAGAATAGGAAGGGAAGAATGAAGAATAGGAGGGGAGGAATGAAGAATAGGAGGGGAAGGNCTGTACGGCGCTTGGGGAAGTATGATTTTGGGCGCGTCACAGATGAATGGTGTATGGGTGTATTAGTACGGTCGCCGGCCGTGTGTGCAGGACCGGTCAGAGGGAAAAAAAAGCTGCTTTGCCGCTCACTGCCTGCGTGCTGCTTACCTGAGGCTAGGCGTCGGCAGGGAGGTGCTGCGTGGGGGAGGGAGAGGGAGGAGAGGGGGAGCGTGAGAGTGTGGCGGGGAAGGAGAAGGAAGAGAGGAGGGTGAGGTGTGGGTGTGCGTGGAGGGAAAGGGGGAGAGAAGGCAAGGAGGAACCGGAAGGGGAGGGTAGAGGCGAGCGAAGCGGCAGGGACAGGAAATGGAGGAACAAAGTAGAAGAAGAAGGGAAAAGAACGGAGGCAAGCTGGGGACGGTAATGGTCCCTGGGGTGAGGGTAGAGTGGAGTGGAGGGAGAATGAGGAAGAGAAGGGAGTGCAGACCTATAGGAATAGGGGGATGGGAGAATTAGTAAGAGAGGGAGTTATATTAAGGAGTAAGAGGAATGATACGACGATAATATATGGCGTTACATAACAACCACCGCGCCGTGAAGGGAATTGTAATAGATATGAGGAATCAACTGTGACGTATTCCGAACATTCTGTGGGGCGGTATTATAAGTGATAGAGTAGTTAGAAATCTGTAATAACCTATCCAGGATTTTCGCCACCATTACCGCTCGCCCACCCCCCCACGCAGGCAGTCACGTCCTCTAACGGGCCTCTTTTCCCACAATCACCGGCTACTCCCCGCACGCAGACAGTCACCGCCCTCCTACGTGGCCTCTTCCCACATATTACCGCTCCCCCCCACACACACACACCCGAGCCACACCACGCCACCCCTGGACGCATCAGACGCACCCCCAGAAACATCGATCTCACTTTCCCTGCTTCGTAGAGAGAGAGAGAGAGAGAGACGAGAGTCGAAAGAGAGAGAGAGAGAGAGAGAGGAGAGAGAGAGAGAGAGAGAGCGAGACAGACGACAGAGAGAAAGAAAGAGAGAGAGAGATAAGATGAGAGAAGAGAGAGAGACGAGAGAGAGAGAGAGAGAGAGAGAGAGAGAAGAGAGAGTTGAGTAGAGAGAGTCAGAGAGAGAGAGAAAATGAGAGAGAGCGAGTAGGAGAGAGAGAGAGAGAGAGTGAGAAGTGAAGAGAGAAGAAGAGAAAGAGAGAGAGAGAGAGAGAGAAAGAGAGACGAGATAGAGGAAAGAGAGGATAGAGAGACAGAGAGAGACGGAGAAACAGAGAGAGACAGACGAGAGAGAGAGAAGAGAGAGAGAGAGAGGAGATATATTATATATATATATATTACTAGAGAGTAGAGAGAGAGAGAACGAGAGAGAGATGAGAGATAGAGAGAGAGAAAGAGAGAGAGAGAGAGCGAGAGAGAGAGAGAGAGAGAGAGTGAGAAAGAAGAAGAGAGAGAGAGAGAGAGGAGAGCAGAGGAAGAAAGAGAGATAGTAGAGAGATAGCAGAGAGAATAGGCAGAGGAGAGAGAGAAGAGAGAGAGAGAGAGAGAGAGAGAGAGAGAGAGAGAGAAAGAGAGATACTGTTATTCCTCCTGGCGCTCGCGAGACAAAGACGCCCGCGGCGTCGACACGCAGACCCGTGAATGTATTAACGCGCATATAGTATCGACTGACGGGGCGTGCGTGAACGGCCGCCGCGCAGGCGGAGAAACGGCTTCCAAACGCTAGCGGTCCCCGCTCCCAACACCGTTTGCCGTTTGAATTTATGTTTCTCCGATTAAAATCGAACCAGTTTCCGTAGCGCGTTCGCGGCGGCGGTTTCATCGAACGGTCGCGAGGAATTATGGCTTTGACTTCTTTGCCTCGAATGTATAACTAGGTGTGGAGTCCGTTCGTGTCGCGGTCAGGGGGGGGAGGTGGGTTGGATTGACGATATTTCGAAGGTATATGGGGCATATATATCTTTGCCTCCCCCACGGTTGCTTGCGTCAGTGCTTCCATGCCCACAGGCCTCCACATTAAGATTTTCATCTGATTAATTGATATATATATATATACTGTGTGTGTGTATATATGTATGTATATATATATTAATATAATTAATAATAATTAACTTTGGCTCTTATATGTTTGATAATATTTAAGCATACTATTTTAACCATTATATTAATTGAATTTACAACAACACCGTTTTATACAGACACACGCGCGCGGGCAGCTGACGCAACGCACACACACACACACACACACACCCACGCACACACACACACACACACACACACACACAAGGCACACCACGGCACACCCACAGCACACAACCACCCACGAAACACGCACACAGCACAGGCCACGCCCGCAACGCACGCACGCACACACACACACACACCACACACACACACACACACAGCAAACCACACACATATATATATTTTTTTTATATATAAATATATTCTGAACCAGACTTGCAGGTAACCCGCGCGTTACACTTTGAAAGTGTCGAGAGAAAAATCCTTAATCCGTTTGATTCGCTATCAAAGACACGATCCCGTTAATTTATCATCAGCCTAATACGCATCAAAAACATTATTACATAAATATTATAATTTTATTAATATATATATATATATATATATATAGTTCACAGAAGCGTGACAGTATTCAGATATGCACTTGACGGAATGTGCGTGAGGCATGTATACGAGGAAACACGAGGAAACGATGGCGACACAGGCTGCATTATTTGCAATTATGCGTGTAATTAATTTTTAGGAATGCGACTGAAGGCTTATCAATAACGATCTTAAGTGGCAAACTTACAGTAATCACATACTAATTATATATATATAATATATGATATATATATATATATATATATATACATAACCATGATGCCATGCGTATCAGAATAAACGCACGCGAATAAAAATGACTCCAGTAATCCATACATGCACGCACACACGCACCCGCACACGCGCACACGCACACGCACACGCATACGCACACGCACACATACACGCTCGCACACACGCACACACACGCACACACACACACACACACACGCACACGCACACACGCACACGCACACATAACCCATGGGCCGTCAGCTAGGATACCTGGCGGAGCCCCCCCCCCTTCTACCGTAACTTCGATACCAATGTTCATATCGTGAGGAACGCATACCCGCCGCCGCGCCACCGCCGCCGCTAACTCACCTGCAGCCTTTGATGTGCCGCCTCGCTCTCCTGATTGGCTAACCGTCCGTGACACCTTGTTACCTTTCCGCCTTTGTAATGGCGCCTTTTTTGCGCTAGAACTGCCTCTTCATCGAGCGCACCAGAGGCGTCTGCTATTGTGCTCGCGGTGCGACCCGTCTGCCGGTGTCGTCAGCCGTGGAAGAGTGGCGGAGGCGGGAGCAGACGAATGATGCAGACGGAGAAATATCGTCGTATCAGCAGCAGCATCTTGCGTGTTCGGTTTAATTAAGAACGACAAAGAGCGGCGGCCCGGGCTTGTTGGTTTTTATTATTAAGTCTGTGTCGCGTTGAGTTACGTTGCGTTGAGATTTTTTGTAAATAATCGAGCAGTTGAGAGTTTATCATCATCATCGTCGTCGTCATCGTCGTCATCATCATCATCATCATCATCATCATCCTTAATATCGTCGTCGTCATCATCAACTCGTAGAACGATTTCCCGACCGTGGAAAAGAAGCGTGATAAATTAAAAAATAACTGTGTGTGTGTGTGTGTGTGTGCGTGCGTGCGTGCGCGCCCCGTGTGTGTATAAGCAAACAAAGGTTACTGTAAATTGTAAACATTCTTACACACACGCTACTGGTTCGGGGGAATACCGTGAAGAAACGTTTCACGATACAGTCCCAAGCTCCCACGCTATACTGCCATCATTATCACTGGCAAACAATTATTTATCATCTCTCTAAAATGAGTAGAAAGCTATTATAGACTCCTACCTCTACTATACAGAACATGTTGGAAAAGCTACCGTGTTGCTGTATAACGTGATAATTAATAATTACTGATGTAATGCAATAATTCTTCTAGCCGCTCCATACTGGTGTAATCAACCATGGAGAATGAGAGCTTATTGTCATAATTAAACATAATAAATAATTATAACACCATTAGTCTAAAATGTCATACCCTTTGAAATTGAAATGTCGTTCACAATTTACGACATTTTATACTCATATGATAGTCATAACTACTTGGGTCGTCAGAAAAGCTGTCGATTCTGACAACAGGCTCCTTGGTCTCGACAACACACGTCTTACATTTATTGTTTTCTGCATTTTTCCAGGCTGTGTATAGAAACCACCTCGTGGCGTGTAAGTGTCATGGCGTCAGCGGCTCCTGCAGTCTGAAGACATGCTGGCAACAGCTATCCCCGTTCAGGTAATAGTAGTATTATTGTTGTTTTTATTATTATTGTTGTTGTTCTTGTTGTTGTTATTGTTGTTGTTGTTGTTGTTATTGTTGTTGCTGTTGTTGTTATTGTTGTTGCTGTTGTTTTCGTCGTTGTTGTTTGCTGTTAATATTATTTTTTGTTTTTATTGTTATTATTATTATTATTATTATGTTGTTGTTGTTGTTGTTGTTGTTGTTATGATTATTATTCTCTCGATCTCAACTCTTCCCGCACCGTTCTCTGCCCCACAGGTCGATAGGCGAGTGGCTGAAGGATCGCTACGACGGAGCCACCGAGGTCAAGGTCAACCGGCGGGGCAAGCTGCAGCTGGCCAACAAGCGCTTTAACCTGCCGACGGCCGAGGACCTGGTCTACATGGAGGAGTCTCCCGATTACTGCATGTACAGTCCACGCACGGGCTCCCTCGGTACGAAGTCGCGAGTTTGTAACAAGGCGGCTGCTGGCATGGACGGCTGCACGCTGCTGTGCTGCGGCAGAGGCTACAACACGCAGAAGGTGGTCGTCGTCGAGCGCTGCAACTGCAAGTTCCACTGGTGCTGCTTCGTCAAGTGCGAGACGTGCAGCAAAGACGTCGACCAGCACATGTGCAAGTAGTGGTGGTGGAGCGTCGCCTGGCGGCGGGGAGGGGTGGAGCGACGGTGCTGCCACCGTGCGTGATGGCGGCGAGAGATGAAATCGTGAGGAAAAGGGAGAATCCCGCGCGCGCGCGCGACCGCCATTGTTGTTTACGTCACGCGTCACGTGATGCGATGACGCGCGGTTGGGGTAGACGGTAGCCATTACGGTTGTAGTGCTGTCAACGAACGCTGCGCGGCGCTGAAGTCGCGTCGTCTGCGAGGGTCACGTGCGTAAGTGACGTCGGTATGTTGTAAATTACGTCAGGAATTCGCCGCGGAAGAATTTCGTCGGAAGAAGTGATGTATTGTTGTCACTTATTATATTATACCAGCTATGCAAAGAAATGTGTTCGCATATATACACATACGGTACCTACGTGTAGCATCGTGTATGAGGGGGTGCGTGGTGGTTTTCTTAATGCAGAGAAAAGGTTTTTTGACTATGTTTTCGTGCGGCTAGGTTTCACTTCCGCGTCGTGTTGCAACTTCGTGTGTGCCCCTCAGATTTTCGTCGAACCGGAAGTTCGGATGATTGCGAGCGGAAGTTGTCACTCCGTCTCGTGTATGATACACAACTTCGTACGTAAACCCACGATTATATTCATATAAATGCCGTAACTTATTTGATTGTAACTGTGATTAGTGCCAACGTGCAGCCGTATAGAAATTTACACTCTGATTTTTTTCGCGCGTTAGAATTAAGGTTTACTTTGTTACGCGCGAAGTATGTGTAGCGCTATAGCCGATAGATGGCGCCCGCGTAGCTTAAACCTTCTACTACGTCTACTGTCAATGGATATGAGGTACTGAGTTTTTATTTTTTGCAATTTACTATGTGCTCTCAAACGATTGGTAGGTACAGTGGTAGACAAAATACGATCAAATTGATGTTTAATTTATGTAATATATTATATATAAAAGGTAGGAGCCGCATGTATTTCATGTAATTCTGACGTATCAAGCATATATACATGAGATACGATGAGTTAATAATAACCCTGCGACCAGGAAGATCGTTTTTAATCGAGGAAAATAGACACAAACATTTGTATGTGTATGTGTGAGTATGAGTGTGAGTGTGTGTGTGTGTGTATGAGTGTGAGTGTGTGTGTGTGTGTGTGTGTGTGTGTGTGTGTGTGTGTGGTGTGTGTGTGTGTGTGTGTGTGTGTGTGTGTGTGTGTG